CCCGCGTCTTTCCCCTCTCCGCGTCCTTCCCTTCCCCGCATCCTTCCCTTCTCCGCGTCCTTCCTCTCTCCGCATCTTTCCCTTCCCCGCGTCCTTCCCCTCTCCTCATCCTTCCCTTCCCTACGTCCTTCCCAGCCCCGCGTCCTTTCCCTCCCCGCCCTGCGGCCGCCGCTCCGGCATGGCCGAGGGGGAGCCGGGGCCGTGCGGGGCTCCGGGGCCGTGCGGGGCTCCGGGGCCGTGCGGGGCTCTGGGGCAGCCGGGGCCGTGCGGGGCTCTGGGGCAGCCGGGGCCGTGCGGGGCGCACGCCGGGCGGCCGCTGGAGCTGTTCTGCGAGGACTGCGGGCGCTGCGTGTGCGCGCTGTGCCCGGCGCTGGGCGCGCACCGCGGGCACCGCGCCTGCCTCCTGCCGCAGGCGGTCCGCCGCGCCCAGGTGAGTGCCCGGCAGGGGTGGGAGCGGGAGCTGAGACCCCCTCGGGTGTCTCGCCGGTTATCTGCTCCCCGAACGCGCGCCGCTGCGTTTGCTTTGGCTAGAGTGCGATGGTGGCATCTCTGGAGTATTAGCGCAGCCTCCAAACTTGCCTTGCGTAGACTAGCAGACTTGCCTTGTGTTAACTAGCAGAACAAAGTTGTTGTATTTTCTCTGCTAGTTTCAAACCTCTACAAGTGGTTTGTACAGCCTGATGCCAGTGCACAAGGATGTGGTTCGTGTACAAAGAGTAAAATGCATGTTTTATGATCAGCTTTTTGCAAATGTTACGATGAATATTATATGTGTGATGCTAGAAAGCTGTGCTGTGTTAAATTCTCTTAAGTAGTGTGTTAAATGTAGTTTTAGGTTCCAACATAATGTTAAAATAGAAACTTTGCTATGTGAAGGGGTTTTTTTAAAGGAATGAGATAGTTGCTTCGAGGAATACCTAAATCTTCCAGAAAATAGGAATTTAGGGTTTTCTTATCAGAAGAAGCTAATTTCTTCAGTTCTTGCTCAGACTCGAAGATGCCATGGGGATTAAAGGAAACAGTTCACATACAACTGACAGAGTTTCTTGTTTTAAATAGAATGTATGCATAACCATGAAGGATATATGAATATGCAACAGGCTATTGCTTTTAAGGTGATTCCTTTGTTCACAAGACATGCTTTTCATGACTTAGTGTATGACAGCATCCACACATCCATAATTATTTGCTTTTTATTGTCTTTTAATTGTCCTGACTCTACATTTTATTACTCTAATTGCATTACTATTTTTACAACCATTTTATTATTATTAAACTTTTAAAATCTTTAAGAAACAAGTGATTGGTGTTTTTCACAAAGAGGAAAGAGTTAATCAGTCACATCTGAGCGTCCACAAAACGGAAGTAAAAATCGAGAGGCAAGGAGGAAGTGACTTTGACTGTTCGGTCACATTCAGCAGCATTTTATCCACAGACCTTGTACGTGGAATCAGGAGTGCAGTCCCAGGAAATTTGTTTTTATTGACAGGCTAGAAGAACCTTTGACCGAAACATAGATACTTTCCATCAGGGGAAGGGGAAAGGTCATTTCTGTTTACACCCTGGCCCCACCATTGTAGCTGGCTAGATCACAGTGACTTGCCTGTGCAGAGTTCTCTGATAACTCCTCTAGGATGTTGTGGGTTAACTAGGCAGCTAAGCACAACACAGCTGCCTGCTTATTCACTAGGCTTCCTTGCCCAGTGGGACAGGGCAAGAGGAACACTAAAACCAAGAAAATCCATGGATTAAGATAAAAAAAATAGGAGAAGATGTAGTGGAGGGAAGAGAAGAACAAAAGTGATGCAAAGGTCGACACTCACCACACAGTTCCCAAGCAAAAGACAGCTAACCCACCTAAACAGCCCTCTTGCAGTTTGCAGAATATGATGTTACATGGTACATGTTACCTCTTTTATTAGTAGGGGTCATCTCCTTGTGTCCCCTTCTGGTCTTCTGTGTGCTCACATTATAGTCACATCTGAAACACAGCACACAAGGGTTGTTGTGAGGAAAGTTAACTCCATCCTAGTCACAGCCAGACCAGGGGTTGTTCCCTAAGATTTTTTCCTTCATCCCAGTGTAGCTGTCCACCAAATATCCTCAGGAAGTTTTGCAAGTTTGCCAATACTCCTGCCTGTGCTGTTTTGCTTGGAAAGCCTGGCAGGAGGCTTAGTAAGGCCAGCATGCTGTGGTACTAACCTTGGGAGACTTAAAATACTGCAACACAGAGGTTTGATGTTCAGGAGCTTCTTTCTTTCTTTCTTTCTTTCTTTCCTTCCTTCCTTCCTTCCTTCCTTCCTTCCTTCCTTCCTTCCTTCCTTCCTTCCTTCCTTCCTTCCTTCCTTCCTTCCTTCCTTCCTTCCTTC